AATTTAAGTTTCACATAATCTAACCTATAATAAATTAATTTATATCTCTGTACTCGCTGCATTTTTACGATAAAATGGCAATATAATTAAAAACATATTTAAAATCATTCCGACAAGGATCTCTGAAAAATCTAATATGATTGATCGACAGACACTCTGCAGCGTAACAGTGCCGGGTGGCTGGAGAAAAGTCGGGATTTTGCAACAGGAAAGGCTCACACCTAATACAGAAACAAAGACAGGGGCGGAAGCCCTTGTGCCAAAGAAACGAAGAACAAAGATGTCAGAAAAACCAAAGAACAAAGGAAAACGTGTTAAAGTGCACGACACTAGATCTAAATCAAAAAACATAGAAAACGAAGAGCCAAACTCAACGACTAACCAAAAAGGCACAGAGATGCAGGCGCACAGCCCAAATAGAGTATTAAATGAAGCACTAGAACCCAACATAAGTTGGGCCGAAGAGACGGAAAATACATATGGGAAGGGGGAGTTGCCTCTCCAAAAAAACCCAGTCCAAAGTACAACTGTATCCTTAAACGAAAAATCGGAAAATTTAATGGCCACTAGAGGAGAAAGCTCCGGAACAAATGAATATGCAATGACAGACGAAGCTGAGTCAGATGACTCGGACATAACAGCAGAAACGGATTTAGAAACCATGCAACTCAGGGATAAAACAAGTAATGGATTTCAAGAAAAGAAGGATACAGCAAGACCATGGTCTAGCCTATTTGCCAAAATGCAAAAAGGACGGGCTACTTATGTAAAGGCAGCAACACCTAGGAAAGAAATTAAAACAAAAAATGAGAATGCGTTGATATTAAATATAAAAAGTTTGGTAAATATCCCATTAAATAAGATTATAGTTGCCCTATATGAGCAAATGGGAGATAAACTTGTTGCGGCTAAACCTCATTTCTTAAGAGGGCAACAGTCAGATTTAGAAATCATTTTTAAAAATGAGGAAAGTGTAAAGGAGTATGCCATGAAGGGCATTACTATCTTTAGACAAACACTTCTAGGATATATACCTACTAGCCTACGAAGAACAGTCCTTTCAGTTAAACTGCAAAATGTTCCTATAGAAGAAAAAGATATGATCTCTGAGCACATCAAAGAAGCAATGGAGGACTTTGGCACTATTGTGTTGATTAAACCCCTATTATATGAGAGAACCCCAGTTTTATTAAATCAATGAATAGTGATATATAACAATACAAATAAAACTGTAGAAGAAAAGTTACCACGACACACACATATTTGGGATCAGAAAGTCATGATCGAATGGAAAACAGCCCCAAAGGTTTGCTTCTATTGTGACCTCAAGGGCCACATAAAAAAGGACTGCCTGAGCTCAAAGAGTCAACAGAACTAAGAAAACATTACAGAAAATTCAAATATAATCAAAAAAAAATCAAAAGGCAGATAATATATGTGACATAGCAATACAAACATGTGATAGCCATAATAAAGAAATGAATCAAACAGAAGAAAGACAAATTCCTACTTCTGGAACAACAGTTGACGAGGAGGCAGCAGAAATTCTACTGGCGAGAGAAATTGAAACTACAGAAAATACTTCACGTGAGAGAGTAGCTCAGGATGAGAACCGAAATGTGAGTAAAAACCAAAATATAGATGAGGGCCAAGATACACATGATGAGCAAGAGAATACAATACAACATAATCAAAATGAAATGCAAAAAACTATAGAAATCATACCAGATGATCAAACGGAAGACTGGGAAAGGTCAACTCCGTTAGAAGAAGAAGAAGGATTTACAGTAGTAACTAAAAAAAAGAGAAATACAAAACTACTACTAATGACAGACATATGTCATAATCCATACAAGAATGAAAAGAATAGTGGAAGTGGCTACACTTCCAAGTTTTAGGCAACATTAATAAAGACAAATACTTACCTCATAAACTCCTTTGATATGAATAGGAATAAATTCACTATAGCCACGTTAAATGTTAAAGGCCTCAACAGCCAACATAAATATACAAAAACACTTACACTATTAAAGTCATACAATATAGATATAATCATGATTCAAGAGACAAACCTAAAAAATAAGGAGACACAAGAGTTTATCAAACAGCAATAGGTATACGAATCCTTTTGGATGACAAAAACAGCAGTACTAGCTAAAAATAGAGGTGTTGAATTTAAAGATATGAAGGAAAGTTATGAAGGGAGGGTGATCACTAGAATTGTGAAAATTAGACAACATACCTGTAAGATAACCAACATATATGCTCCACTACATATGTCTGAAAGAATTAATTTTTTTGACAGCTGGAAACCAGAAGTAGATAATAACATGATGAATATTGTTGCAGGTGATTTTAATGTGAATATTGACCCTCATAGGAATAGAATTAGCCAAGCTATAGCTCACTATGATCCCTCTATGGCTAAACTTATACAGCTTATAAAAAGTTATGCAGATATAGCTAACAGTTTCAAGCAACCATTTACGACCTTTATGCAAAAAATGAAAAGAAACAAAATGATAGCTACTAGGCTAGATTATATATTTGTTGATAGTGAGCATATACAGTTTTGTCAGAGTATTCAAACACTATATAGAAATTCAGACCACTTGTTAGTCAAATGTATATTCAACCTTCAGCCAAAGTGAGGCACTCTGTATATTGGAAATTTAATACGAAGTATCTAACGAATGATACGGTTAGGGAAAGCATAATAGAAGAGCTGAGTAAAGACATATCAGTAAATATTTAGGATATACGTAAGGGCAAAATTCAAGTGACGATTAGACAGTACAAGCCACCTCTAACACCTGAAAAGAAAATGTGTAAACTCCAGGGAAAAATAGCTGAATTACAAGAGCAAGTAATCTAGTATTCGGAAAGAGAAGAGTTAAATGCTATAATAGAGAGACTACAAGTGGACCTGTAAGTGGAGCTTACAACTTTTGCAGAGAAATAGCAGATTCGATCAAATGCCTGATGGATTGAGGAAGGAGAATGATCAACCAAATATTTCTTTGCAAGATATAAGGCTCGACATACTACAAGTTTCATAACCAA